ACAGACTCATGGTTTGCCTAAATGCAAAGAGCACCGGGAATCAGCACAGTGCACTAGAGATCTGAATACAAAGATGTACATCCACATCTTAGATATCACTGAGACTTCTTGGAAGGGTGTGATTTTATTCTGAAGAAATTCAAAAGACATTTGGGGAAGGGCAAGTAGCATTGCATGTTAAGTAAGAACATAAGCACACGTGGGGAAATCCAGGCGCCAGAGTGGGAAGGCAGGGGGGAGACTGACCAAACAGTCAGTGGAGAGAGACACAAATGTGATATTGTTGTTGGTGAATACTACAGACCACCTCGTTCTAAAGAAGAAAATAGGTCAGGACGCTGGTCACAGACCCCAAGGCTGGTGTGGAGGACACTATGTCCCAGGCATGGACAACCTCAATTCTCCCAGCATGTCCTGGGCTCCCTCTCTCTCCCCAAAGCAAAGTAATCAGTAACTTCCCTTTTCTATAAAATGCTTTATTTGGTGTTTGTGCTTTGGCACTGCCATATCCCATTAGCCACGGTACCTTCCCTGCTGGGCTACACAGAGGACACAGCCTGTTCTTAGCTACAGCCACTCAGCTTCTCCTGAAGCCCCAGATCCTTCCTCCCCCTTGGGGATCCCCGGCACTTCTCCCAGTAGACCGTAAGCTCCTTGAGGCCAGCGACCATTGAGCTTTCGCCTTCATATCCCAGTGCCTTGTCATTGGTCTTGCACATAATAGACTTGTTTGAACTGAATTATTTGAAGGTGAAAGAAAAATAGAAGGCACTTCACTGGCAAGGTGAGTCAGAAGAGTCAGAATCAATGAGTCAGTAAAGCACATCACTCTCCTCCCTCCAAGTGTCACACTGGCCCACTAGACAGTCATCCCTCCAGTCCTCCCTTCACTCACCATGTCATCTTCCACCTCCGCGTCTTTGTAAAAGCCACCCCCCATGGCAAGGAGAAGCCCCTCCTTAGCCTGCCTACAGCACCCCCAGCTCCCTTTGAAGCACAGCGCAGGGCCAGTCCCGATGCCCTTGCTAGGATATTAGCTGAGATGCTTTGTGTGTGTAACAGGATTCTTAATACCCACCTGGTGACAAGTATGCCCAGGGTTCCACCACATGGGGTTGGATATTCTGAAGAGAGAAAGGAGATGAATACCCTGATCTCCTGCAGCCCCAGGGATCTGGGAGGGAGCAAGAGCTGCTGCTGGCCCCTGCCTGAGATGCCCTTGGCCGTGAGCTCTCCATGGTACTGAATCAGCCTCTCACGCGCTTTCAGTCATTCCACAAACACTTATTAAGTTCCTACTACGAGCGAGGGATACAAAATACGGTGCCTGCTCTTGAGGAGCTCCCAGTCTGATGGGAGAGACACCCATGAAACAACTATGTAAAAAGAAGAGACAGAGAGATTACAGCCCAGCCCAGAGGGAAGGCCCCAGCAGCTGGTGGGTGGGGAAGGGTCAAAAAGGCTCCTGAAGAGATTCCAGCTGAGAGGGAAGGAACCAGCAGCTGGTGGGTGGGGAAGGGAAGGGCAGGGCAGAAAGGTCCTGCAGAGACTCCGGCCCAGAGCACTTTTCCATCCTTGAAGCTTTAGCTTCTGGGAAGGGTTGAGGGTTTGGGTTAGAGTCTTCCAGGAGCCCTTCTAGACCACTGTGTGTGGGGGGGAGAGACATTAGAGGAGAGGGGCTGCCGTCATGCCTGCACACTTCAAATGTCACCCCCCCATCCTTGTCCATGATCCTCTCACACTGTGCAAACTGGACACCAGCCAAGTAGTGAGATCCCCACACATTCATTTACTCACATATGTGTGTGGTGAATGGAGGTTGTATGGTGTCAACTCTCTCAGAGCCCCCACTCTCCCACCCCAACTGAGGGAACTTTAAGGTGGCTTGAGGAGGGAGCCCAGGAGGGCTAGTCATCAGGAAGCCCAAGCAAGGCTTCCTGGGGGAGATGGTCACCCACCTGAACTCTGAAGAAAAGTAGGGATTCCAAAAGGTGGAGATATCCCAGACAGGATCATGATGGCAGCCTATGCAAAGGGATGGAGGGGGGAAAGAGAAATTCTCAGTTCAAGAAGAAACTAGCAGCTCCATTTGTTTAGAACATAGGGTGTATCTAGAGGTGCCACATGGAACAAGCCTGGAAAGCTAGGTTCCAGTCAAGTTGTGAAATGTTCTAAATTCCAAGCCAAGGAATTTCTGTTTTGTGCTAAAGGCAAGCAATAGGGAGCCAGTGAAGACTTGCACAGGGTCAGGCTTGTGCTCCAAAAAGACCATTTTGGCAGCCATCGGTAGGGGAGAAATTGGAGGGGGGAGAGCCAGAAGCAGAGAGAACAATTAGAAGGTTGTTGCAGAGTCCTTGTGAGACTCATTAGGACCTGGACTATGGTGGGAGTGGAGACAAAGGTACAAATACTGGAGATGGGGTGGAGGGAGAATTAGTGGCATTTGTCAGCTGATTAAATTGGAAAAGAACTTACCAACTACCAGCCTAGGGCAGAGTACCAAAGAAGGCTGAGGAATCTGTGTTCCTAGAGATGGTGAAAAAGATTCTTGATAGTGTAATGTCTATGATCAATGCAAGCTCTCCAAGTCTCATCTGTCTGTGTGGCTCCAGGAGTCTGTGGATGGGAGACGAAGGAAGGTACCTTTGAGTGGGCTTTCTCTCCATATCTTTGGTTACTCCAGGGAGGTCATGGTCCACACTGGAGGATGGAAAGGGTTAAGAACATTATGATAAAAAAAAGTTTCTTTCTTTTCCCCTCCTGCTCCCCCCTCACACCAAGAATTCCTGCCCATATCATCCTGGGTCATAGCTCTCCCCAAATGAGCTGACCTTCTCATTTGGGCCCAAGCTACAATGCCATGTGCTGCTTTCTTAAATGTTAAGCTAATTCTCCAGGAAAGGGAGAGAGAGAAAGAAAGAAAGAGAGAGAAAGAGACACTCAATTCTAAATGCCATCTGAGAAGGTCACAGTGACTGTAAGGTACCTTTGTTAAAAGATCTGGACTGTGTTTGTGTCCAGATCTGATGCTTTGGTTCCTGACTTGGGTCCAGTAACTGAAAAAGGCATTCCTCCAGGAGGACTCCAAGAGTCCTTCCTCTATTGAGGAAGAAAATTCTGAGAGAGCTGAAGGTGGAGGGAAGGTTGAAGAGGCAGAGGGAGGTTAGGAGCATCAAGCAATAATCAACAAACATTTCCTTAGCAACTATTAAGTGACAGGTCCTGTCTGACAAGATGGTGAGCAAGCAGTAGATAAGAGTTAATGATCCTTATGGGCCCCTGAAAGTTCTCCCTTTTGTATGCACATCTCCAGAAAAGATACCTCATCACCATCCACTCAAACCATGGTCCATGGGCCCCCACCAATATCTTATTTGTCAGCCAGAGGATACAATTAGTGCAGACTAAAGACATTCAATGAAATGGCATAGTAAGAAAAGTAGTAGTAAAATATTCCCCCATAACCCTTTCTGCACTTTCTGCCTCTGTCTCTCTGTCTCTCTCTGTCTCTGTCTGTCTATCGAATCTCTCCCCCCCAGTGTGTGTTTGTGTGTATGTGTGTGTGTGTATGTGTGTGTGTGTGTGTGTGTGTGTGTGTGTGTGTGTGTGTGTGTCTCCCCCCACCTCGGGGCCATAGCTACAGTCCTCAGCTAAGGTACTAACTAATGGGACTCTGTTCTCTTTAACTTAGCTGAGAGCATAGAGCCAAAGCTTCAGCTCTTTCATTAAAAAAAGCAAGCCTTTAATACAGTCACAGGACTAGGAGCTGCTTTCTCTCCATAATTAAACAAGTCTGTCCACTCCAAGAGACTTGATCGCTTGCGGTTTTCTCACCGTAAGGACAGGGGAGTCTTTCAGTCCCTAAAGTTTTAGGCTCCAGAGGTCATCCTTTTGGAATACAGAAGAGCCTGCAAGATGATAAGATCCCTCAGGTGTTGACTCAGTTTTTGAACCTACTTCCTAGTAAAAGAGTCAGTCTCAAGTCTCTGTCTCAAGCCCCATTTGATTTAGTGTTAGAAAGTCCCCCTTAACCCCATCAATTCTGTGTTGCCCACCAACACCCCCCTCATTGAAGCCATCAAGCTGCTGCTGGATGATCACTTGTCAGGGGTGTCAAAGCGGGGGTTCCTGTTCATACGTGGCTTGGGGGAACTGCTGCTAAGGCCCTTTTCAACTTTAAAGAGATCCTTTAATCCTGGGAAATGACAATCCCAAGTCCCTCTTTCTTGAAGATCTCCCTGCTCCTGAGTGGGGCCACTGAGGCAGTACTGGCCCAACAGCTCATTACACAGATGCTGTCTAATCCCCTTTCATTTTCCCTATCTCAAAGGAGTCAAGGAGGACCAGACCCTAACTAGTGGCATGGTCTCCTCCAGTTCAGTCAAGGAACACCAAGACCCAGTAGTTCTCTCCCTTTGGCTTTGGGGGAGAAGCTCCAGCCAGGTCTCAGCAGCTGACCCAGATGACCAAGACCACCTAGGCTCTGCCACTGTTTGACCTTGAGCAAGTCTCTTCCCTTATCTGAGTGTCAGTGTCCTCCTCTATAAAAATGAGTCATTGGCTTAGAGGATCTCAAAGGCCCCTTTCATCTCTGACACTCAGGGCTTCAGAATCTGTGGACTCTGTCAGACAGAAGACAGGTGGCTCAAAGCACCATGGGAGGTCCGAAATGCTTGGGGAAGTCAGAGGCCAGGGAGATCATTCTCTGCTTCTTGGGGTAACCAGGGTGGGCTTCATGGAACATTTGAACTGGACCTTGAGAGAGGGATGAAAGTGTCAGAGGGATGAAAGGGCAGAGGCCAGAGGAAGAACAGAGAAGATGGAGGGAGAGAGAGACAGAGACAGAGAGAGAAAGAGAGACAGACAGACAGAGAGAAAGAGAGAGGTGAGACAGAGAGAGGAGAGAGCTGTGGAGTTCAACAGATTGTTCCTTGTGCAGGAACTGTCTCCCAGCTCATCCCAGGGTCACTACTAGTCTCTGCCTGTCTGTCTCCCTCCAGATCAATTTTGTTTTCCTGTTCAACATTGTTAGAATTTTGATGACGAAGCTTCGCGCATCTACCACTTCAGAGACGATGCAATACAGGTAAGCGGCCACCCTGTGGGTGCCATTCATCCATCCCCTGCCCTGTGGCCAAGTAGCGCTGGCTCATCTGAAGCCACTGAGAGAGGAGGAAAGTGCTCTGCCAGTGTTTAAGAAGAGGAGGCCCCTTCTCCATCTCTTGCTCTTTGGCAGGGAGTGTCCTTGTGGCTAACTTGAATCTCACACCAAAGCTTGTGGCCATTCAGCCCTTGGTGGAAATTGAGCTGCAAAACAAGCAGAAGGGGGCTAGATCAGAGGTAAAGGACCTGACCTAGATGACATGCACCCTCGTGCCATTTACTGAACTGGTTTGTGCCTCATCTCCCAACTCTGTACAAGGAGAGTGCTAATGCCCACACTGTACACTTACCCAACAAGTGAGAACAAACGGCCTTGGTAAACCTACAGAAGTGTCCCCTTGGATCGAGGAGGGTTACACGTGCTTTGCAGCTTCCTTTCCTTCCCTTCTGTTCCTCAGTTTGTGACATGGTGCCTCCCCCTTTGCCAGGACAAGCCCTTATTCTGACCCTCTCCCACGGCTGCTCAGTGCCCACCCTCATTCACTTCCTCCCTCCCTTTTGTGTTCAAGAATCCCTTGTTCCAAAGGGACAGATGTTGTCAACCAAATGAGTTGTAAAGTGATTTTCTGTGAAATGAATCCTGCCAGTGTTCCATTTAACTCCATTCTAAAGTGAAAACCATGTTCCTATGAATGTCTTCCCCAATATGTTGAGTTAGGAAACTATGTCTAGAAAGCAGTTAGCAATCAGTACCAGCAATATCTCCCTGTCCTCCACCCAACTCTGTGCTTCCCTAACCCTGGACCATTCCTTCTCCTCTGAGGCTCCCCTGGCCCCTAGATCTCCCCCGCTGTCCTCAGGTTCCCCAGCCCCAGGCTGTCCCTTCTGCCCCTGTGTTTCTTTAACTCCAGATTTTCTCCTCTCTTTTCATTTCTCTTTTCCCTGGAGCTACTCCTCCTTCCAGCCTTTCACTCAGTATTTGAAAATGCTCCTCAATCCCTGTGCTTTGAGCACTTGCAAGGTCTAGTAGAGTTGGACTGCCAGACCGAAGGTGTGGTCACAGATGTGCTCTCACTCCCAAAAGAATCCCTTGAGAGAGAGGCCTCAGGCTCCATAAATGTGCCTCACCTTATACATGCATATATGTGTGTAATATGTATATATCTATTGTGTATGTGTGTGTGCATGTATCTCCACACCAGTGCACAAGCCTTTATTAAACACCAGCAGTGCACAGAGCTTTGAATCAGGCACAGGGTGGGGCACTGGGCACAAAACTTAAGGCTGTGGTCCCTGCCCACATTGGGCTTCCTGTCCCATGACAGGCTAAGGACCATGCCCATGGATCTGGAAGATGAAGTTGTTGAATTGATGCTTGATCCCAGGGGGCCTGCACTGTCCTCACCTCCTGTGCCATCAGGGAGAAGGAGTGCCCACAGTCCCCCTGCCTCAATGACCTTGGGCATCTCTCCTCTCCTCCCTCACCCAGGAAGGCAGTCAAGGCAACCCTGGTCCTCTTGCCCCTCCTGGGCATCACCTACATGCTCTTCTTTGTCAACCCCGGAGATGACGATGTGTCCCAGGTTGTGTTCATTTACTTCAATTCCTTCCTGCAGTCTTTCCAGGTCAGAGCCTTGGAGTCTGGGGGGCAGGAGGGAAGGGAGGGGGGCCTGGGGCACTTGTTCTTTCACATGCATGCGCACTGCGTGCCTAGTCAGGGGAGGCACCAGCATGTGGGTGCATGCCCGTGTGTTACTGAATATGTGTTAATGAAGGTTGCTATAAAAAGGAATCTGGGACCCCCTTTGTGATAGCAGGGAGTGCGAGGCAGGGTTCACACTGTGAGGAGAGTGGGCCAGGAGAAAACTGGCCTGAGATTAACTGTTGATGTGAACCGAACCTGCACACAACCATATGTACATGCACACACATGCGCGCTGATGCACAAGTGGACACAAACTGACCCCTCCCCCCAGTAAAGATGGACCCTCTCCTTAATCCCCAACTGAGAATGACTCCCTAACCTTGACCAATCCTAGCACAGGGGACAGGGCTAAGCCTGGGGCCATATAATAGCAATGTCCTCTGTAGGAATGTAACTGTCCCAGGGGACTGAACTCAGTACCTTAGACAGCACCCTGCCAACACCCACACATGCTAAGGATGCTACACTTCTCTTCCTTCCCCTGCTTTTCCCCTTCCCCACTGTTCACCTTGAACTATGGTCTGTCCTCCTGAACTATGCATTGTCCTCCCTGCTCTGTGGGGAGCAAGCCACCAAAAAGGTGTTCCCCTCCTCCCTTCCCACTTTTCTCCCATAATCCCTTTCTGCCCCTTGGCTCCAAGGAGGGTCTGGCTGACGGTTGCGTAGGAATGTTGCACTAATGAGCTCCCTCCTTCCTCACCAGGGCTTCTTTGTCTCTGTGTTCTACTGCTTCCTGAATGGAGAGGTGAGTGAGCTGAGCTTTCCAGGCATCTCCAAAGCTCTTAGCAGGGAGCCCTGAGCTAAGGGGAAGAAAGGCAGTCAACCCTTGGCAAACCAGATAGTTGGACAGGCTCAAAATAGCCAAATCCCAGATGACCAAGCATGCAAAAACAGAAGCAGAGAGACTCCATGTTGCCCCCTTTCTGAGCACATGCCCAAGACAGGAGGGAGGAGAGCAGGGTGGGTTCACTGGAGAAGGTGTCCTGGAAGAAGAGAACTCTGAAACAAGTCTTCCCTGGTTTGGGAGAGTGGAGGCCAAAGGCCGTTCAAGAGCAAGAGTCTGAGAACCTTCAGGCTCGAAAGACCATTAGTGATCAGCAGATCACCAAGGAAGGGTTGAAGTATCCCCTAGAGGTCTCCTCTAACCCCCTCTTTTAATAATTGACTTTTGCCCCAAAAGATGACTCACCCAGGCTGACATAAGCAGTGGCTGAATCAGGGTTGGAACCAGGTGCAAGCCTCTGTTAAACAGCCCCAGGGAAACTTCCTATCCTGAGGGACCTTGTGAAGAATGCTTCTGTGAAACAAGGAATCATTCTGTCAGCAACACTCAGAGACTTAGAATACCAAAGCTAGCAGTGATTGCAGAGATCCCATCCAAATCCCTCATTACATGTGAGGAAACTGAGTCCCAGGGAGGGCAACGGATGCAGGCAAGGTCACTCATTCAGTCAATAGAAGGGCTGAGAAGAGAGCCCAGATGTCCTGACCCCCAGTACTGTTTCCCTTGGCTCTATGTACTTCCTATTCCCTCCAGCCCTGACCCTAGAAATGAGGCCCCCAAAAGTGCCCTAAGCATCTGTGGGGAGAAGGAGAGCCAGGACCTACAGAAACAAGTCTCATACCTTCTTAATGAGTCAGCTCAAGCAAGGCCACTGAAGGAGGGGACACGAGGGCAGGCTGACCCCCAGGGCTTGGCAACCAAAGGAACAAATGAGGCAAATCCCATTAAATAGGAGGCAGGCAGAACTTTACTAAAAACTCTAATGGCTCCTAAGTGTTTCAAGATTGAAAATTCTCCCCCTGAGGCCTCAGCAGCAGCAGGTGATAGACTCCCCAGAGGTCTGGGGAAAGGGGATGGTTACTTCTAGAAAACCTCAGTAAAAGAAAACATGATGTTTCAGTGAATCTGCGACCTCGTCTGTGAGGACATTCCCTCTAACAGCATAGACTTCAGCCCATCCACACTGTCTGAGCAGCCCATAAATCCTCCCCAGCAGATAGACCCAGTGCCTCTGCCTTCCTCAAGCCCTCCTGACATTGCTTGGACGCCAATATGGCAAACGGGATGCCCATCATCAGTTGCCTCGACTACTGTCTGGAGAAACGCTATGGGCTTGTTCCAGCCGCATTTCTGTGGACTTTTAATCTGTTCATTATGTGCCCTGAGAAAGTCTTTTGGCAAAGAGTGAGCCCCTTTCCATTTAGGGTCAGGAGCCCTGGGTTTGGGTAACACTGTACAGGGTCAGTGACTTTTCAAATATGCTGTGGTTCATTTCCCAGTTGTTGTGATCATTCTCATGGTCATCATTAGAGACGTTCCTCAGCCCAGCCGTGGATTCACTTCGGCCACATTGTGAAAACTATCCTGCATTCACTCAATGTCCCACTTAGGGATGCAGCATTGCAGGGTTAGAACTGGTGCTAGCCAGACCCAGGTGCAGGCACCAGTCACACAGCTAATCACTTTCAGTCTTGGTCTTCTCATTTGCAAAATGGAGATGATAACATCGGTAGCCCCTTCCTGCCATGGTTGTTGTGACAGCTGTCTGTCAAGCACTTGATAAACCCAACAGAAATGGCAGCTACTGCTGTTATCACTGTTTACACAATGAGGAAAAGATTCGATTCAATCGGTTCCCTGAAAGTGGGCCCAGCAGACAGGTGCAAGCCATAGCCTTGCCCATCGAAGTCCCAATGGCAAAGTCAGGTTGGTCCTTCCCCTGCTCTCTCTCTGTCTCTCTCTCTGTGTCTCTCTGCGTCTCTGTGTCTGTCTGTCTCTCTCTCTCTTTCTCTCTCTCTCTCCAGGTCCGAGCAGCTGTGAGGAAGAGATGGCGCAGGTGGCAGGATCACCATGCCTTACGGGTCCGGGTTGCCCGGGCCATGTCAATCCCCACGTCCCCCACAAGGATCAGCTTTCACAGCATCAAGCAGACAGCCACTGTCTGATGCTATTACCCCCCCTTCCTCCCCCTCCCCCTCCAGAGATGCTCCTCTTGCCTCTTTCTTGTCCTCCTCCTTTCTTGGGCAGTTTAACATGGGGGAAGAGAGGAGAAAAGGGGCCTGGATGGGTGGTGTAGAAGGAGAGTGATGTCAGAGAAGTCGGGGCGTGCAGTGGGGTGGCGAGATGACTGGAAATGGCCCAAACCTGGGACCAGCAGATCAGAAGAGCCGAGGCCTCTGTCACACTTGCCAGAGCACTCTTGTCCTCACAGTGTCCCCAGGAGAGAAATGGAGGCTGAATTAGTGTCTCCACTTGCCTGATGAGGAAATGGAGGCCTGGAGGGTCAGAGTCAGAGAGGAAGGGATGGAAGGGGCTACAGAAGACCCTTAGTCCAGGCCATTTTACAGATGGGAAAACTGAGGGGAGATCATGGCCATGGTTATCCAGACACTCCACAATGAAGCTGGGGCTAGGACTCAGGTCTCTTGACAGCCAGTTTTTTCCACTGCACCATTTATGGGACAGCCTTCCCCTCCCCCAGCTAGTTTCCCCAAGCTGCCGGAGCAGGAACACCAAAAGATGCGTAGCTTCCTTCCAACCCAATCTCCTCCCTGTTGTGTTGAGGCCCACTGGCCAGGCCTTGTGTAACCTGGCAGAACAAAGAAGATGGGGAGGGAGGGAAGAGGACCACATTGAAGGGTGAAGGGAGGGCTGTCAGCCACACAAACCAAAGCATCTCTTCTGTGTTTGAAACCTAGAAGCCAGGGTCCTAGGGACCTCAACTGGACCCTTCCCCTTCAGAAACAGTGTCTCGTATCTCTGAAATAAACTCCACCTGAAGTGTGTTCTGTGTTCATTTGAGCTCTCCCCAAGTCACTGAGCCCCGGTCCTGGGTACTGATCTTGGCCTCACTTTGTGGTCAGGGAGGCAGGGAAGAAGGTCCCTTCTGGTTAGAGGGACAAGATTCCCCTAGAAACAATGAGGTAGCAGCACAGGGCAGTTTGACCCAGGGCTGGAGACCGGAGGTTGAGGTCAGTAGGTCCAAGAAGGGAGGGTCAGTGCAGACTGGGGTGGGCAGGGAAGGCTGGGTCTGAGTGGGGCCTTAGAAGGAGGGGGACCATTGGACAGAGGGAGAAAAAGGGAAGGATATTTGCGGAGGCGAAATAGATTTTCAGGTGTGGGAAATGACAGGGCACTAGCTGGACGCAGCCCTAGCCACGGCAACGAGCACCTGCCGTCCCGCTTCATGGTGTAAAGCACCGTCCTCACAATAGCCCCGTGCTGAAGAGGGGCACGCTTCAGAGCTCCACTTCACAGAGGAGGAACCTGAGCCTCACTGAGATGAGATGACCTGCCCAAGGTTACACAGCTAGTCCATGTCTGAGCCAGCACTCAGTCCCACGTCCAGCATGCCTGCCACTAACCCCAGTCCTGCAGCAGAGAGAATGGATGGGAGGCCCAGGTTGAAGTCTGAATGTCCTAGATTGGGAGTGCAGAGAGACTGCACAGGCCCATTGTTCTCCCATGGTACAGATGAGGAAACTGAGGCCAGACAAATTGGGACTCCCTCACAGGTCCTGGGTCCTCTGACACCCCCTCCATTTTCCACTGAAGCCCACTGTGTCTTAGGAGGAGGGATTGGGAGGACCTAGTGACTGCTTGGGGATGGGATGGAAAAAAGGAAGGAGTTGGGGCAGCTAGGTCGGGCAGTGGATAGAGCACTGGCCCTCAAGTCTGAAGGACCTGAGTTCAAATCCGGCCTCAGACCAAACACTTGACACTTACTAGCTGTGTGACCCTGGGCAAGTCACTTAACCCCAATTGCCTAAGAAAAAAAAAAGAAAAAAGGAAGGAGTCCAGACGTCTGCCAGGCTTCCAGCAGGGGTCACTGGGAGCCTGGCAGTGCTGTTTCCAGGAGCATAGAATCTTCATTTGGGCGAGGCCTCAGTCGTATGGCCTCCCCATCAAGAGTGCGTTCGGCCCTGCCCGGAGAGCCTTCCCCCAAAGCTCCCTGCCCCACCTTTGGACACCTCTCTCTAGGAGAGCCACACATGCCTCCCAGTCCTCCCTCACAGTACTCCTGCTTCCGATTTCTGGGGCCAAGTGGAAGGGGGCTAACTCGTCTTCCCCGGGGACAGCATGAAGACAGCCCTCATGCTGCTCTTGAAAACAAGCTATTGGAGAGAGGGATGGGGGGTGGGGACAGGCCAGGGCCCCAGGGGCTCCGGGAAAGCAGCAACACAACGGGGAGGGTTGGTCACTTCTCATGATACGCTTCATGCTGGCACATTTTATTCTCTGCTCAATTCAACCCCCATTTCTTTTTGCATCTGCTAAGAGGGGGAGCTGTGGTAGGCCCTTAGAGAAATGCTGAGAGGGGCTTAAGTGTGGTTCTTCCCCTCCCCCTAAGACTGGTGCACATGATCTAGTCAAGTCTGTCTGGGGTTGGGCAGTGGTGACACCCAGGGCCTGTGACCTACCCAGGCAGAGCGCCGAGGCCCCATACCTAGGACTGGGAGCTGAGAAGGAGATGAAGGGAGATCCCTCGGCATCCGAATGGTGATATACCTGACCAAGCTGGAACTGCAAATCCAGGCCTCGGAGTCAAGTGAGAGTTGAAAAGGCAGACAAGGGGATCTGGCTCCAGCACCTAAAGCAGGCTGAGGGGAGCGAGAGCTCTCAGTGAGAGCCTTCAGTGACTTAGGGGGTATCTACCTCAAGCACGTGGAGACTTCCCTGGCAGAAGGGATGGATGAGGACAATGTGTTCCAAGGGCCATGAAGGTGGCTGAGGTGGGCACTGTGGAGGGCTTAGAGCTTGGTCAGACATCAAAGACGCCAAGGTCGTTCACTGCACCTCGGGCCATCACCAGTCGCCACTCGACTGAAATCACTGGAGGAGAGAGTGAGGCCAGCAACTTCGAGGCAGCTCTGCCTCACTCAAACCCAATTCATGGGCAAGTCAAGACATTGCCCACGATGTCACTGGTCCTCTTCACCCTTGAACAAAAGCAAACAACAACTAAGCACCTACTGTGTGTGTGATCTGTGAGCCCTGGGGAAGATACAAAGTACAGACAAGTCCTGATCCCTGTCCTGGCCTCATGGGGTGTGCTGTCTAAGAGGGAGATGATATTTGGGTGCCTACAGTACACAGTGTTGTAAGTCTATTAGAAAGGACAACAAATGTTTCAGAGATGGCAGGGTGAGGGGAGGTTGGAGCTCCGTCTTCAAGGAGGAATAAAAAGCTCAGAGCAAGAAAGGTCTTCCAAAAAATAAATAGAGAGATAGATAGATAGATAGATAGATAGATAGATAGATAGATAGATAGATAGATAGATA